AGATAGGAATAAGCTGTTTTGTTAAAATAATCTGAAAAATTACAGCATGAAGAAAGAATTTCGTCACGACCGTTCGGCTGAATTAAAAATGTGGATGTAAAAAATACTGTGGAGGATTTAGGTGCTGTTGAGGCCGATAGTGATTCTCGAAATCTTCGATGCGTCCTGTCTCTAGAGCTAGTAGAAAAAACACACTATTATTGCCTTCATTATCGCTATCATGCATTTCATAGTTCAAAGACGGAACTCGGTATGCCTTTTTTTATCGCTTGGAGCGCACGAAAGGGAATCCCTATAATGTTCAAAGAACATCGTGCGTTCCTAGATAGGATAGGGACAGGAGGTAGGTATTGATATAACAATGTCTGCTACCATCATTCCGACCAAGTCCCCTATTATTAATGCTTGGTATTTCCATCAGCAATCCTCTCTCATGGGAAAATCATGCCCGATCAATTGCGAAAACTTCTTCACACAAACTAGGATTATTATCCCGTGCGAAAATCATATATGGGGTTCAGCACCCAAACATACACTGATGCTCTTATATAGATTCTATCCAGGGAAGGGCCATCCGCTTGGTTTGCGATGCCACACTCACTAATCCTTTGACCTCATTAGAACACCGTAGAAAAGTCGGCGACTTTTCAATTTTCTCTAGATACTTCCATGGAAAATGTTCTTCAACATAACAATAATACATACTGGATATTATATTAATAACGAACCTTATTATTAATAATAATAGCAGCAGGTAGGTACTAGCAATTATAATAAAAATAATGATAATAAAAAAGGAGGATATGATTTGAGTTTGAATTTGAACAGAGAGAGAAACATGAACATATACAGCTTTGAAAAATTACATTGACAAGTATTTTTGAGGTTGTTTTTCAAAACTAATTAACGGAGTACCTACTGTATATTTTACTTGTTTAGGTACTTTGCTGAATTCCTGAAAACCTTTGAAGAATAATCAATCCATTGTCTTCTTATAATTGGTTCTGAGAATATGAATATTGTCGCAGTTTCTGGTTAAGTGCTTATGAACATCCCTGTTGAAAACAATATGCATCAAAATAAGTCAAAAACAAAAATCATAGTTAGATAATATATTCTTCGTGCATCTGACTACCATTGTAGTGTGTTTTGTATCAAACCATTAGAAGTATCACGATTTGTTTCTACTTATTCAGAATTGTCCTCATACCACAAATTTGAAATTTCTGAAGTTGGTTTATTTTGTTCAAATTCAGTGTAAACAACTCCGACGCACAGTAATCGAAATGGGCTAGAATGATTGCATTATAATATATGGTGATTTTGGTATCAACTGGTTATTTTATCAGTTCTACTGAAAAACTAAAGTTTCTTCAATATGTTTTTGTTGATATATTCGAAGTGACTCACATAATTATACTTAATCGAGCTGAAAACCCAAATATTTGACAGTTCGAACTATTTCAATTTAATCATTATTAATCATTAAACTCATATCAGCAATGTTGATGCAGTTATATATTTTGTCGTTATGATCATTCGTTTTGTTTTTGAAACGTTCAATTTAAGTTTATTTTTGTTCAAGTAATTGTAAACATCTATCTAGACTGGATTCTCTTTTTGAATGGCCACTTACAAACTTGAATACCTACATACTATCGAAGTATCGTCAGCAAAGAGGTTTATGAACTCACAATTCACAAATAGTTCGATGTAATTCAAATATACAATGAATAGTGAAGACCCTACACGTTGTCTTGAGGAATTCCTACATCATTAATCATTTCTGATGAAACGTTATAGGGATTCCCTTTCGTGCGCTCCAAGAGATATAAAAAAATACCACTAATAGTAATATGTATGGCGGAAGGTTTCATCCGAAATAGTTATTTTAGTATCTAGAGCGCGAAATGCTACTTTGGTGATCGAGATCGAGG